CTGCCCTATGTGTTTTTTTATTTGTTTTTTTTTAAAAAAACAAACCTTTGTAATAAAACTATAGTAATATCTAGAACATTTTCTGGAGCCCTGTGAGTTGTTCTTTTGAGAGTCAGCCGACTCTTGGTTAGATGGGTGGATGGCCTGGGTAACTTGTGGCCAGTATGGAGTTGGAATCTTGTTGGGGGAATGTGGCCTTAAAGCTGTGGAGTCTAAAGCAATCTGTAAACAGTGTAAGAACTGAGTTGTATTACAGTATTCTAGTGACTGACTCACCTGTGTAGAACACTGTGTAGTTCTTTGTTCATTTATGCCATTACCTCGTGTCAGCCAGGGATTTTTTGCTGGTGTTAATTCTGTATCATATCTGGACAAAATGTGTACATTTTTATCCCTATAGGATTTTTTGGTTATTTTACTCTCTGGTCTTTCTCAATGTGTTTGGTACAGTGTCTGTCTAGGAACAATCCACGAATATAGAGATTTCCGTTCTCCCAGTGAACTCCATTTTTGTGACTACACCACCTCCAAAAGAAGCTTGACATGGCTCTGGAGAAATGCTCTCAGGATGTTAATGGTGATACTGAACTTGATGATTACACCTGTTAAAAGATTAAAGCACATAACTATTTTATTTTGTTAAGATTTCTTTTATGTTAAAAATTGTGTGGGGCCTACAGTCACTTGATCTTTGACAAAGGAACTAAAACTGTCCAGTGGAAAAAGGACAGCAATTTGAACAAATGGTGCTGGTTCAACTGGAGGACAACATGTAGAAGAATGCAAATTGATCCATTCTTATCTCCTTGTACAAACCTCAAGTCCAAGTGCATAAAGGGCCTCCACATAAAACCAGATACTCTGAAACTAATAGAAGAGAAGGTGGAGAAGAACCTTGAATACCTGGGCACAGGGGAAAAGTTCCTGAACAGAACACCAATGGCTTATGCTCTAAGATCAAGAATTGACAAATGGGACTTCATAAAATTGCAAAGTTTCTGTAAGGCAAAGGACACTGTCAATAGGACAAAATGTCAACCAACAGATTGGGAAAAGATCTTTACCAATCCCACATCCAATAGAGGGCTAATATCCAATATATACTAAGAACTCAAGAAATTAGACTCCAGACAATCAAACAACCCTATTAAAAAGTGGAGTATAGAGCTAAATGAAGAATTCTCAACTGAGGAAACTCGAATGGCTGAGAAGCACCTAAAGAAATGTTCAACATCCTTAGTCATCAGGGAAATGCAAATTAAAACAACCTTGAGATTCCACCTCACACCAGTCAGATTGGCTAAGATCAAAAACTCAGGTGATAGTAGATGCTGGCAAGGATATGGAGAAAACACTCCTCCATTGTTGGTGGGATTGCAAGATGGTACAACCACTTTGTAAATCAGTCTGGTGGTTCCTTAGAAAATTGGACATAGCATTACCTGAGGACCCAGCTATACCACTCCTGGCCATATACCCAGAAGATGCTCTAACATATAACAAGAACATATGCTCCACTATGTTCATAGCAGCTTTATTTATAATAGCCAGAAGCTGGAAAGAACCCAGATGTCTTTCAACAAAGGAATGGATAAAAAAAAAATGTGGTACGTTTATACAATGGGGTATTACTCAGCTACTAAAAACAATGAATTCGAGAAATTCTTAGGCAAATGGGTGGAACTAGAAAATATCATCCTGAGTGTGGTAACCCAACCACAAAAGAACACACATGGTATTCACTCACTGATCATTGGATATTAGCCCAGAAGCTTAAAATACCCAAGATTCAACTCACAGACCACATGAAGCTCATGAAGAAGGAAGACCAAGTGTGGGTGCTTCGGTCCTTCTTAGAAGGAGTAGCAAAATGCTCAAGGGAGCAAATATGGAGACAAAGTATGGGACAGAAACTGAAGGAGGGGACGTCTGGAGACCATTCCATCTGGGTATCCATTCCATGTGAAGTCACCAAAGGTAGATGCTGATGTGGATGTCAGGAAGTCCATGCTGACAGGAGCCTGATATAGCTGTGTCCTTAGAGGTCTGCCAGAGCTTGACATATTCAGAGGCAGTTGCTCAAAGCTAACCATTGAATTGATCAAGGGGTTCCCAATGGAGGAGTTAGAGTGAAGACTGAAGGAGCTGAAAGGGTTTGCAGCCCCATGAGGAGAGCAACAATACCAACCAACCAGAGCTCCTAGGGTCTAAACCACCAGCCTGGGAGTACTTAGGGAGAGACCCGTGGTTCCAGCTGTATATGTAAGGGAGGATGGCCCTGTCGGGCATAGGTGGGAGAGGAGATCCTTGGTCCCATGAAGGCTGGACGCTGTGTGTGGGGGAATTCGAGGGTGTGGAGGTGGGAGTGGGGAGGGTAGGTGGAGACACATCCTCATAGAAGCAGGAGGAGAGGGGATGTGATAGGGGGTTCCTGGACGGGGGAGGGAGAATGGGGTAAGGGGATAACATCTGAAATATAAATAAAATATCCAATAAAAAAATTAAAAAAAATCGTGTGGGGTGGCAAGAGAGGGCAACTGGATACCCCCAGAGCTAGAGTTATAAGGGGTTGTGAGCCACCTGATTCCAGTGCTGGGAACTCAGGTCTTCTGCAAGTGCCGTGCATGCTCTTAACCACTGAGTCATCTCTCTCTGACCCCAGTTTTAAAGTTTATGTGAGCTACCAGTACTTTCTGAATTGGGCCAGTTCACATGACACGTTGTTAAGTCCTCCTCATACCCACAAGGGATGTGAATGGAAGGTTTTTATCAGTCAATATAAAACCAAGCAAAGAGATAATTTTCATGATTAGTGTTCAACTCACTGTTTTATCTGAACTATCCCTCTTGAAGACAGTGCACTTGCAAACCAGTGTCCTTGGTTTAAATCTTAAGTGCCTTCCAAGCACCGTGTGTTAAAGGCTTATTATCATTACAAGATGCTGCTGGGAGAGTATGGAGATGCTACTACTGAGAGCTGAGGGTATAACCCTGTCATTCAGAATTTCAAATTCAAGCCCTATCTAGTATACAGAGCAAGTTCACAGTAGCCTGGGGAACTAAGTTCGACCCAGTTTTGGAATAAAAATTAACAAAATGATTGGGCTATAGCTTAGTTATCTGGCTTCCTCTGCCTGGGTCAGATCCCTAGTACAAACCAAAGAGGTAAGGCTTAGTGAGATGAAGTTAGGCCACCGGACATGTGGCCTTATGGGACTAATAGAAATCCTGGCCCGACCCTAAAGTGTCTCACTTTCTGGTCACCAGGAGATGAGAATCTTTCTTGCATTGGCTCTTGTCATAATGTATAAAGCAATGAGATCAAATGGCTTTGCGTCAAGACCTCTAAACTCTGAGCTGAACAGATATTGCCTTATTTTAAGCTGGTTATCTGGTTTCTTGGGGCAGTAACAGAAAATTTCAACATAACTCTAATGGAACCACTTGGCTGCCTTTGATGGACTGAACTCATTCTTAGCCTTCTTTTAAATTCCAAGTTCTAGGCTTCAGTTTTCCTATGTGGGGACCTGGTTGTTAGGCTTTCCACTTAAATACTCTAAAACACTAAGGTCTATCTATACTATGCTATATCTATACTATTATATGTCTATATTATATAGTATATTATATCTATACTATAACTAAGAGCTATACTATACTGTCTAAACTATACTAAGATACAGGTAGGTATGTCACACTTTCTCTATTTTTCTTAAACCTTTATCTTTTCTTCTCCCCTTTACTTGGATGAAGTTTGTAGGTAAACCAAAAGAGAGGGTGAGTCCCCAGTACTCCCACCAACCCAGAGCTGTCTGGGCCACCTTTCCACTGGGCACTTGACACCATCCTTCCTTTTTCTAATCAAGAACATCACTTCTCCAATTAACCCTCTGTCTTGTGTGTTAGGGTTATAAATTTAAAGCAACACAAAGAGGCACGAGAGTCCAGCAAATCATGAATCTTTATTTGAATTAGGCAGCAAGAACCAACTAGTTCTTGGGAGCCGTCTGCATGTTCAAATATCCACCTCAGTAAGGATGTAAGCAGATGACAAAATGCAGTACTGTACTCAGGGCGATACTGATGGATCAGGGACACAGGAGCTAAACCGCACCCCGAACCAGAATGCTACAGAATTTCTAAGCCCATGTATATGTGTGTATATGAGCACGCATGGCTGTTAGAGTCAGCTTCCCTTTCTTCACCATGTGGAGTCTTGGGATTTTCAGACTTGGGAGCAAATGCTTTTTCCAGCTGGGTTGGCTTGTTGACCCAGAAGGAGGTTTGTCTTTTGTTTTTTAATTCTTGAGTTATTTCTACAATCCATCCCACATTGTGTGTGTGTCTGTCTGTCTGTCTGTATTAGATAATCTTTTTGGAATAAAACTGTTTTTGTCTCAATCATTTTGTTCTGAAGCAAGCAATGTAACTTTCCTGTCAAAACCAAGGGCATGCAGGACATCCTATATTACCACAATGTCACTCTCACATGTTAGGACATCCGTGTCTAATAGAAGCATGGAGAAAGTGACTAATACAGTAGCTCTAGCATTAATATAGACACATTTTACAGCATAGTGTTTAATGTTCCCATGATGCCAGGGTCTGCCTTCACTGAGTCCCTTCTGTTCCTCATAGTGATATGGTAGACTCCAGGGACTCCTGAGAAACCTTAGTATAATGACAATAAACGTTATGTTCTACTGGATGGCATGGTCTCCATACTTAGCGACTAGCACGATAAATCTGAACTTTAAAAAATCAATAAATATGAATGAGTAAATAAACCATTTCTTTGTGAGTACGTTTTACACCCTGCTGGAGTCCAAAACCTACGTTTACGTCCTGGCTCCACTTTGAAAGGGTAGTTTCTCTGTGAGAGGACGGGGCGGGACCGGAGCCACCGGAAGGCGGCGTGCCGACCAGTTGGGCAAACTGTCGCGTACGTGTGACGAAATCTCTCCGCGTCCGCGCAGACGAAGACGCCAAAGAACGTGGATCGTAGGTAGCATGGCGACCACCGCCCAGCAGTCCCCTCAGCCAGTCGGCGGAAAGCGCAAAGGCAAATCCCAGTTTCTGCCGGCCAAGCGGGCCCGACGCGGTGACGCAGGCGGCCCGCGGCAGCTGGAGCCCGGCCTGCAGGGCATCCTCATCACCTGCAACATGAACGAGCGCAAGTGCGTGGAGGAGGCCTATAGCCTGCTCAACGAGTATGGCGACGACTTGTACGGGCCCGAAAAGGTACGGGCCTCGGGGAGAGTGAGCCTCCTGTGGGCCTCTTCCGGGGAGCGGAGGCGGCAGTTGCTTCAAAGCGCCTGTGCGGTGCTTGCATGACCTCCCTTACCTACCCGCCCCTGGTGTGGCTGCTATTGCAGCCTGCCTGGTGGGTGTGTGCCTACGGGGCTGGCTCTTTAGGCTTTCTTGACATCACTAATGACAGTGACTCCCACGTATTGATTGCCTTCTGTGACCCAGGTAGTGTGCTAAAGACCGTTCAGATGCGTACCTCATGCGTCAGTGCGACGTTGCTACGAGCTAAAATCTGAGATAGTGATAGGGATGCTATTTTCCAAGTGCACTTGAAAATACATTTAAGAAAATAAAACTTGTGAAGCCCAGTCCTCATCGAGTTTGACTGCCGTAGTATTATTGGCTTAGACTCCGAATACGCTTGCACACTCTGAAGTGTGGAGAAAGATAGTGTAGCAGGCCCCGTTACTTGAGAGGAGGGGGCAGAATAGGAATCTGTAAAGGCTCCTTCAGTGTGCACAGTTATTTTTATTACCTGGTTGCAAATCCCCTTGGTGTAGGACAGGGCAACAGGCACATGTCTAGGCTTGTGCCTTGTTCAAGCTCCCTTTTTGTTGTGCCCCTTTTGTTTTCAAGAGAAGACTTTGCTGGCAACCTCAAGTTGGCCTCAGCTCCCCAGAAGTAGGGACTACAAGCACTGGCCACTGCTTTGTGTGCTCCATTTCTTATAACAGGAGTAAGGGCTTTTAGTTCTCTCATACATTTGGTTCTAATCCTGGCACAGCTGCATTGTCTACCAGCCACTATCCAGATGGGTCTGAAAGCATTTGCAGATGACACATACCACACACCACACACAGGGAATTTATTTCTTAATGTACATTTCAGAAGTAGTATTTTATTAGTCTAATAAAATAATTATTGTCAATATTGAGACCTCTGCCACTGGGGGTTTCACATAAGTAGTTAATTACAGTGTTTGAACATGAGCTATTCTGTAATTTTTGCCTGTTGGTTTTTATGTAAACAGTTTATAGACAAGGACCAGCAGCCCTCAGGAAGTGAGGGAGAAGACGATGATGTCGAGGCTGCCTTGAAAAAAGAAGTTGGTGACATTAAGGCTTCTACAGAGAAGAGGCTGAGAAGATTCCAGTCAGTGGAGAGCGGAGCAAATAATGTAGTCTTCATCAGGACACTTGGGATAGGTATGTCTGGTTAACAGCTCTGAGATCATCAGTCCCATAGTATCTGGGCATTTCTGTCCTAGCAGACGCTGCTTAGACAGTGGCTTCATGAATATGGCTGTTAATTACTCTGTGGAACTTCTCAGCATTCCATCAGCAGTGTATCAGTGTCAGCAGGTTTTTGAAAAGGTTTCAGATGACATATACCATGCTCAGGGAATAGGAATGGAGGGCCAGATCCACTTAAGACCTGGAAATAGAATTCCTTTGACTTTCACATGTGTTCACTAATTTGAAAATGTTAGCACTGTGTCTTGGGCAGATGTGTATAGTTGGGAAGTAGCCAGTGAATCACTGTGTCATGCTGTGCTATGTGGTGCTGGGATCCTTTGCAAGCTGAGAGCTGGACTTCTGTACTCAGTAACTAATGGGTTAGGTCTTTAAGTGATGTACAGATTTTGTTTTTGTAAAAATAATGCTGTGTAATGCTTGTTACTCTAATTTGTATTACAGAAAAACAGTAAGGTGTGGTTTAAGTTTGATTCTGAGACTATCAACATTTATATATGGTAGGTCCCAGAGAAATACTAGTTGGAAAATAAGAACAAAAAAAATCTTGATTTTTTTTTCTTGTGTTTCTTCTTTTTTTCCTTTTTCTCTTAGAACCTGAGAAATTAGTGCATCATATTCTCCAGGATATGTACAAAACCAAGAAAAAGAAGACACGGGTTATTCTGCGAATGTTGCCCATCTCAGGCACATGTAAAGCTTTTTTAGAAGATATGAAAAAATATGCAGAAACATTTCTGGAACCCTGGTTTAAAGCCCCAAACAAAGGGACATTTCAGATTGTATACAAATCTCGAAATAATAGCCATATGAATAGAGAAGAAGTTATTAAAGAGTTGGCAGGTAAGTTCTCTTAGTAATTTTATATAGCCTGCTCTGGTTAAAACTTACGCTTAAAAATTTTTAAGTTTAGTACATTTTTTTCTTCAGCACATATATCAGATCTAAGTAATACTGGTATATGAGGTAGATTCTCTGGTAGAATTCTTTGCAAATCAAAATTGAATATTTGGGAAAATACAGTGGTCTGCCCATACCCATGGGTGATTGGTTATTAGATCCCCTAGGGATACCAAACCTGTGAGTGCCCAGGTAAGTCTTATATAAAATTGGTTGTTTTGGTATAGTATTTGCATATAACCTGCATATGCTGTCTTGTATATTTTATATCATCTTTGGATTACTTACAATACTAAGTCTGGTGGAATCTTAGTGAAAATATTGTCTTATTTAGAGATAATGACAATTAAAATTGGTTTGTTCTTGTTAAGTGGAGATATCATTTTCTTTCTTAAGTATTTTAACACTTAACTTTGTTTTGTACACGTAAGTGCAGTTCCCACAGAGGCCAGAAAAAGCTGTCCTTTCCTTTTGAGCTAGAGCTAACAGGTGATTGTTTAGCTTTTCACCAGGAATGCTGGGAATAGATAGGTCTTCTGTAAGAACAGTGTATGCACATTTCCACAGAGTCATCTCTCTACTCTGGCAATTGTTCTTGTATTAAATGTCTCAAGGTTTTATCATATTTATTTATTAAAAGAATTGATAGAGCTGTGTATGCATGCACTAGATCTCACAGTTGGGAGGCAGAGGCAGGCTGATTGCTGTGAATTCCAGGCCAACCTGGTTTACACAGTGAGTTCCAGGCCAGCCAAGGCTTCATAGAGACCCTGTCTTGAAATAAACAAAACAAAAAAGTATCAATGGAATTTCATTGACAGTCACAAAGAACAATGAATTTTTATAAACCATGATTAACAAATCCTTTATAGGTAAGGGATGAAAGCCTTGTTTGGCTACATCCATCAGGCTTAACGATATCCTTCCTTCTTAGCCCATTTTCCTATTTTTTGTTTCAGGAATAGTGGGCAGCCTCAATTCAGAAAACAAAGTGGATCTCACTAATCCAGAATACACGGTGGTAGTAGAAATCATCAAAGCTGTGTGTTGCCTGAGTGTTGTGAAAGATTATGTGCTGTTCCGAAAATACAACCTCCAAGAAGTAGTGAAGACTGCAAAAGACTCACAGCCTCACCCAAAGCTGGGAAATGGCAAAGAAGCAAAATTGGAATCTGATAGCAAGTTGAATCAAAGTGATCCTCCAGCAGGGGGAACTAACCAACAGGGGGCACCAGAGAGTAGCGAGGAGCTGGGGCAGACAGAGCCAGGGTCTGATTCCCAGGCGGGGAGGGAGGGAGGAGCTAAGCCTGAACCTGAAAGCCAAGTCTCAGAAGGACCCCAGACAAATGAAAATGAGCTCTCCTAAGTCATTCTGTGGGAAGGTGGTCTCAGCTGGGGTTCCATGTGGAACTGTGATAATATATTTTGACTTTTGTGTGCTGCTCAATGCTGATCTCAAAATCCTTGTTGTCAATTTTATTGTTAGAGCCCTTCCAAGCCTGTATATTGTGTGTGCAGAACCATGCACTGTTTCCCAGGGGAGGGTGCTAGGAGGATGGTGTTGCCTCTGCCTCCTTATTACTCTCTCTGGTTTCCTCTTAAGCACTGCCAACTGATGTGGAACTGAACAATATCTGAGTGGGAAATGAACAGGACATTCTGAGGAGGGTGTGCTGCAGCTCAGCTGTCCCTGCCGTTCCATTGTACACATAAAAAAAGTGGCACTGTGGATTATATGGGAATCACTTTGTGATGCTTTCTACTTTTTGTTTTTCTTGTTTTTGTTTGCTTTCGTTTTATGTTAAAAGCAAGTCTGATGGCTCATCACTGCAGGTGTTTTAGAGAAGGTATGAGGTAAAAGAGGACTGTTCTAGGTGTAGACCCAGGGGTGTTTCTCCTAAGGTTAGGGATGAGGAGTCACTGCCAGGTCACTTTCATATCCTAGTACAAAAGCCAGGAAAGAAAGATACTGTACCAGGATTACACTGGACTGCTATCCAAGCTGGACTGTCAGCTTGTGGTACTTTCAATTGTTCCTCAGAGGCAGAGATTGGAAGGGTAGAAGGGACCAGTGAGTACTGTAAAACAAACTATCCAGGTGGAAACTATAACATTTGGTTGGGAAATGGGCTTGAGCTTAAATCTTAATACACATTAGGAAGTAGTATAAATGCTAAGATGGTTAAGAGCTAGTGACATGAGAATATATATTTTGTGTCACATAGCTAGAGGCTTGCTTGGTAAGCCAGACCAAGAGGATATGGGAGAAACAGAATAGGCAGTACCTTGCTAATGCAAATGAGACTAGATCGTCCTTGGGTGTTTGACTTGTTAACTCAAGTCTGAGATTGAAACCATCTTGAAAGGATAGGCCTTAGTATCACTTAAGGGGGATGGGAGTGGAGGATCTTGGTGCCTTCTTGTGGCTTGTTCCAAGATAGAGAGACTTTTAATAGTGTAGGACAGAGGACCTGAGGATAAATTACTCTTTGCTCAGACAGGAAGTTCTGGAGTTTGGCAAGTTGCTGCACTTCAGATTTTGATCTATACTTTACTTTTAATTGCCTTTTCATTTATTTGCTTTCAATGAGTCCCTAGTGTGACTGGCTATTTGCTAGTTGTACAGTGCTGTGTGCTCTTGGGATCTGAATTCACTAATTTTGCTCTGCTTTCAGATTTGCTGACTTTGTCTTCACTGACTTTTCAGTGTGCTAGTTTACATGTGATCCCAAGGTAGGAACTTAGTGGTTAGTTTAAAACTATAGCAGTTATGACAGAAAATAAAGAAGCAGAAACCAAATCTCTGTGCTGAGGGTCAGCATGCCTGTCCTGTTCTGCAGACAAAGGAGTTAAGCCTGGTCCTACAGGACACATTTCTCCAAAGCTGAATACAGTTTTCAGATATTTTTATTGCATTTTGTTCTTGGTACAGCTGAACTTTCAGGTTTTCAAAGTTCCTGATATTTTAAAAAATAAAAATGGATTTGTTCTGTAAAGTTTGGCATTTTTACTTTTTTTTTCTGCCCCATATTAAATGTCTTTCTATGTGTATAGTATGTTTACTGTAAAAATGATTATATGTTTGATTATGTATAAAAAATCCAGGCTCATCGTTTCTAAAAAGTAAAGATACTAAATTTATTCCTGAATAATTAATATTCAAAAAATACAAGTTTAAAATATCTTGCAGGATTTACTTCAAGCACCTATCATACTGAGTTTTGTTAAAGTCATTAACTGGCCTTTGAATCATTTATACTTCTGATTTGAACAGTATTTTAGTCTGCTTGAAAGGTGTGATTTCATAAAGATTTGTATGCAGAGGGATCACCTGAGTCAGTCTTAGGACAATTCATCTTTACTTTGGATTAATCAGGACAAGATGTATAAAACATAGATTCATGGTATGCTGCCCTATCTCTGGAGTCATTTGACCTTTGACACTTCATTCTCTGTTGGTTTGATTATCACAACAGTACCCTTCTCAAATATGTTTAGATTTTGCTTGTTTCTTTATTGTTTTCCTAGATACAACTATTTTTTCAATCAGGAAGAAAACAAATGTTAAAACATTTTAAGAGTGAAACAGGAAATACAGTATTTTAAGAGTGAAATAGGAAAAAAAATGTTCAAGTGTTTACTATCAGAAGCAAGTACTGGAACCAACCGAATCACTCCTGCTTCAGTTCTCATCCAGCTATGCCCGTCCCCACTCCTGGTCTCTTAACACATTGCGTTTGATTTTCCCAGTGATTGTCTTTGGGAGTTCTTGAACAAATTCCACCTGATTGACAAAAAAAAAAAAAAAAAAAAAACAACAGGAGGCACTTGATGTTTCATCCTAGCAGTCAGTGCAGTCACAGAAACCCTGGGCGAAAGCTTAAAATAGGAGATTCCCAGCTTTGAGTATCCTTCCAAAAATAAATAACCTCTTCATCCTTTGGTTTCCCTCTGTTTACACGTAAAACCCAACTGCCTTCTACTACACCTGATTCAGAGAAAAGATCTTAAAATGTCGGTCTTTAAAGAGCTGGGACCTAAAGAATCTGAGGGAAATCTAGGGATGATTTATAGAGTTAGTAGAGGTTTCATCTTATACCCTGCTTGGCCACTTTTGTCTTTGATTCCTTCTCTCAAATATCTTTAAATGTCTTGACATCTCTTCTGAAAGTCAAAGTTACCAGTTTAGTTACTTTAATGGAGAAAGTGTGAAGATAGTTGGATCAGATCACTAACATGAACTACATTTTGGTTCAAATGATGAAATGGTCTTGTAATTAACCAGTAGCAACTGGTAGTACTCCAGAGCCAGAAGGTACACCAGCCATCCTTGTCCTTATATGTGCTTGTTCTTCTGTCCTTCTGCCTTTGAAGAAAGGTTTAGGAAGAGTTACCTCCCAACCGTGTGTGTGTGTGTGTGTGTGTGTGTGTGTGTGTGTGTGTACACTTCTCAGGCTTAAATAGGGCTACTTGAACATTTTGGGCTTAAAGGGGTATCATAGCCTATTTTACTCTGATCAGGTGCCACATCTAAAAATCAGGAACTTGGTGGTTCTTAACTTCCACTCCCTTTCCCCATATAAAATGGCCCTTATTAGTCCTGAAAACATTCTTAGTATTGCAGTTTGTTTTTCTTTCCCATCTGTGTGTGTATGCATTTTCTTTGCATGTGTGTGAACACACCTATATCCTCAGTTAAATCTTCCACCTAAGAGACCAGATCTCAGTTAAACCCAGAGTTCTCAGATATGGCTGGTCTTGCTAGCCAGCTTGCTCTGGTGGTCTACTTCTGCCTTCCAAGGCAGCTGAGCCAGCACAGCCACCCACACATACATATGGGTTCTAGGAAGCTGAATTCACACTTTGACAGCAAGTACTTTAGTCACCCCCAGCCTCTGCAGCAAAGGATCACTTGTAGTGTCCTAAATATAAAACACTTTAAAACAAAAACTTTCAGAGTAAAACAAACTCAAGAGGTATCTTCAAGGATACCTAGCAAGTGTAAAGTCAAAATCCAACACAGTCAGAAGTAACTTGCACCTACCTTTCTTGGGTATTTGTAAGGTGCTGTTGAATTTTTCACATGATCCTGAAGTTCAGCGGTTAACTTCTCACGGTTGGAGGACTTAAAGGGTGCAGCTAATACAATAAACGCCTTCACTACCTGCAGCAGAAAAATCGTTTGCTTGTAAGACACACCAAGGGTTTGGAACTATTGCTGAACACAGGCATTGGCTCTTCATAGCGGTGCAAACCTCAGAGACACTGAATGAAGCTTGGGTACAAATTATAAAGTGTATTTGAGGATCTCTTCCCAGAGGAATGGACTGTGAATGTGTGAATGAGTGCTGAGTTCTGTTTATCTGTCCCACGGACTTAACATTTCTGTATAGTTGATTGAGGCAGCTCTTGACTTGGAGGAGCACATTTATGCCTTGGCACCTCTACAGTTAGAGGTATGTTGAGCAAGATGAATGGAGATTCTGTAGGAGGTCTGACCAAGTTCAGATTCAGGAAGGGGTTGTTAGCTCCCAGTTTTTCCTTCCATTTGGAATTCTGCTTAAAAACACTTATAGAGGTTAATTAGTACATTGATTCTAATTGGCACTTGTTTCTGGCATTTGATTGAGATCAGGTCTATTGAAATGATGAGGATGTAGTGGCAGGAGAAGAATATTTTGCAAATTGGAATAGATCAAGAGCAGAGGGGGAAAGATGTTGTTCAGAGTACCCTGTGGAAGGCCACTGATATGTGAGAGGGAGGCACAGAAAACGGGATGGGGGAGTACTGATAGCCACACTGGCTCAACATTTTTCTGCTTGCTAAGTCTTCAGAAAACTCCCAGGAGGAAAGGGAAATGTGCCTCCTAAGTAGACCCGTGGGAATTTTGGGCCAACCTTGGGTACAATTTCCTGTTCTTATTTCTGTAAGAATTGTATTTCGAGCTGTAATGTATGAGAGTTGAAATCTGATTCGTTTGCTTACACAGTGTCTGTTTCCCATGGAACAACAACAACACACGAGTTGTCCAAACAACATTCCCCTCATGTCTTTCTAGTAGAGCTATCAGCATTTACTTCCCAAGACCATCATATCATCCAGGTTTGGCCAGTTGGCTTGCACAAGTTGCTGGACCACACTGGGTAGAGATGTGGTAGAGTTTACTTGAAACAGGTGCAAAGAGAATTCACCCCTTCCTGATAGTGGAAATGAGTTATACTTATTTGTGTCCTGAGCTGATTGCTGTGTGATAGGAGGAACTAGAGCTTAAGATCTCAGGCAGACAAGGGAGACAGAGCCTCCATGACATCACAGGTATGCTTGGCTCAAGCTTGAATCCGTGAATTAAGGGGAGGAGTTTCTGACTCAGGCCGCCCAAAGAATCCCAGACCTCTTTGGGGTAGAACTCATTTGTAAGTAGATTACCAGGCATACATGTACCTTTGAGAATTAAACAAGTTACCATGAGTTAGCCTTTGCCATAGACACATGGACAGGACTTGAGAATGAAATTGCTGCTTTAGTTCTGACATCCACCCTACCTCTCCTCGGATCGGATCTGGACTGCTGACGACAGCTGACTCAACTACTGCTGGGTGCTCTATCAGTGCGCTCTCTACTTCAAATGGCCCAATTCGGTACCTGCAAAGGGGAGGAAGCCTTTGATTACCACATTCTCCAAATCGGAAATCTCCCATTCTGTCATGTCATCAGTTTCTTAGAACAGCAAACATACAAACCCAGAGGATATAATGACATCGTCAGCTCTGCCGACAAACCAAAAGTATCCGTCGTCATCCATCACTCCTCTGTCTCCAGTGACATAAAAATTTCTTCTTATTGTGGCATCCGTCTTTTCTGGATTGTCCTACCAATCAAAG